CGTCAATGGCTGTGTGATTGTTTTTGGTGTGTGGTTGTGAAAGGGTGGGATAGGAGAATGTGATTGTAACACGGTTACGAAAAACAATTAGGATTCGGACGTGTCATTACGAGTTAGGGTCACGGGGTCATGGGAAAGGTCATGTCTATCTCGGCGGTATGTACCACGTTGTGGCCAAGGCAGTTTGAGTGATTGTACGAATCGCTTTTGAGAACAAAGCGATGGGTTTAAAAATCGAATGGCCACGGCTTCGGCTGTTGCGAGATGACGTTGACAGGCGGATTTTGAAGGGTTCGGTGGCACAATGTAGATGATTCGAAATGCGTCATCATTAATCTGATGCCCGGTATCGGCGAGATTGGCTACGATTGCACTTGAAATCGTTCTTCTTATGCCTGAACGCAACCAGACCGGTTTGTGTTCCTTGATTCTTTGGGACAATTGCCTGGTCGTTATGCCTACATATCTTGCCGAACATAAGCAAATAAATGAGTAGGTGATCATGGATGAGGCATGGGCAAGTAATTTGTCTTTAGGGTTCACGGACACCACCAGTCGGCTCAAGAAAAGGGTGCTTAGTGTGGTGGCAGGAAAGGTTCCGGAGATTTCTGTTTATAACCGTCGTGTCAATAGTTCACTATTATAATCTCCCTTGAATGGGAGTCTAATTTATAATTCTTTTCTTCCTACCGTCATTAGTTGCTCTCTTTGAGGTCTCTCCAAGAAACCACGAATCACACAGCCATTGACAAACATTTTCATTTTCATTTGACGATATAACTGTATTGGTCCGAGGAAGGATTTGTTGAAAACGAGCATGTTCGCTAAAACCACCGTGTTTTCAACTTAGTATTTGATTCTGTTAACTTAGAAATTTATAAGATAAAATCTCGTTCAAACACAGTGGTTTTGTTCACTGCAGTAACCAGGTTTATTGTCCCGTGCGTAAAATATACGTTGAAATGAACTCATCTTGCTACGAGCGTTTACATTAGCTTACAATATGAAGTCAAAGTTAGGTAAACAATGCCAAAGGTAAAGTACATGAATATATATGTTATTGATTTAAACTGGCCATTAGTTAAACTTCATCTTCATTTAGGATCCTCAGATCGTTTAGCCAACTTATGTTTCGTTTTCAATGGAGCTTTCCAGAAGTGTAGATCTCCCATCTTGTTCGGGACTTGAACACCGGAGTCAACGCATTGCGGGAGTATGATATGAATGTGTCAACCAGCTCACAGCAGGTCTGATCGGAATTGTCAATCCATGTATGATCAAATGAAATCCTTGGGGATAATTACTTA